AGTCGTTATTACTCCCTCAGTAACGTCTGAATCGACCGGCCGTTAATGCCGTCCAGTGACGTCACTACTCCTTGACCTTTGCTTTAATTCATGCAAAAAGTAAAACACGATTTTCAAGTGGCAAACCGAGGAATATCGTTTGGAAATGTCTGCATGATACCGAACTGCTTTATTTTTTTCGATTGTAATTCATGTTTAACGTTCAAACTATCAACTGCATACAGTACAACTCTGAACCGGTTGTACTAAATCTATAATCAAACTCGGTCGCAATCACGCAATGAAATAAACACACACACGGAACACTTAGTTCAAAAACACAATGATTTGCTTTAATCGAAAAGAAGCTATTTGGTCCTTAACGAAGAAAAAAAACAAGGAGACAAGAAAGAAAAGCTAACCGAATCATTACACTTGACGGTAAAAATAGCAAGAAGGTCGAATTTTAACACTGATCTCAGAAAACTTCGCGTAAACAAAATAACCGGCCGCCGAAACCACAAAGCGGCTCTAAATGAAAAACGGCTTAAGCGACCAATTGCAACTAAAAGGTACACGAGGTGCTAGCGTCGTTTGAGATAGAAATCCTCGTAGGAATAAGACGTTGATTTTACAGTTTCTTAGAACGTAATTAATAATGGGGTCACCCAAACAGTGAATCTAGCCTTGTTCGATAGATTGCTCAAGGGCTTTAAGGCCTGGGTCAAAGGTATGTTCGGAGAATATGATTGAATAACAATATCTCTCGCTAGGAGACTTAAAACAAAATGAAATTTTCCCCAAAAGTAAATCTTGAGGTCTTCTTGCAACGTTTAATTATGATCACGTGACCAAAAGTTGAACATGAAGGAAGTTGGCGAATTGGTGGCAAATTTACTTTGTTTGGATAATAAGAGGATAAACATACCTAACTTTCTACATTCGGAATGAATGTGCGCGAAGTTTAAAATTTAAGTTTTAAATAATTCAAGGTTAAATTAGGGCATTTAAAATGATGTTTTCCCTCATAATTTTTATTGAAGTGCAATGGACGGTCATTCCTAACGTGAAGTGTTAGAGACATTTAATAAGAATGAGAAAAATGTTATCGCTCGATTTCTTTTCTTAAACCCGCTACCGATTTGTCCAATTATTTCAAAATGGTCACGTGAGATATCATGTGATTTATTAACACAATGTTTTACTTAAAAATGTTAAGGACGATGGTCATGATTTCTTTATGTGTGGCAAATTTTGAATCAGCTACATAATCTGTACCAAATTTATAGCCAATAAAACATTTTCCAAAGGTAAACCTATTGGACCCATGGCTTAAACTACTTGAGTGACCAGGGCTACTTGCAATGAATTCAATACTTTCTGATAAAGGTTGGAAATGTTTTCATTTATTTTAATGTAATTAACCATCAAGTACGTAATTAGCAATAGTCCTTAAAAAGTGTGTTTTTCAGCTATCTTGCAACCAGTTTTTGAAAAAGACTAACTTATTTCACTTTAAGATATGTGAAATTCTTAAGCCTCGAAAACTTCACCTGCAACTACGATAACTTTAAAATTTTCCCTTTCAAATGGTGAATAAAAGCAGATGATACCTGAAATCCTCCGTACTTGAAATTTGCATCTTCCATGAAGTTCTCACGATCAACAAATCGATCAGAGTTGCTCAGTTGACACAAATGCTTCGTCAGGCTGGTCTCTGAAGGTCCAAAGTTGTAAGATTGACAACGATGTTCTCCTACACATTTAAATTGACAAGCCAATTCTGATTCTACTTCTTCATCTTTAATCACACTTCCATTCAACCTCCTTTTTTCTACTGGCTCGGCAAAGTTTAGAGTTCTCCAACCCACACCAGGATATGAAATATGTCCCAGGCCAAAAATGTTCTCTATAAAAAGGAGTAACACCAAGAAATTCATCGTGCGAAATAGTTCGAAAACTATTGCGCAGTGAGGAATAAAGGCCGAGAAGAAGCAGGTGGACCTCTTTCAAGAGCTTCCATGGTGGGTTGTTTACCATAAATTATGAAAGATACTATATATCTGAACGTTCTAGAATACAAATAGAATCTTTTACCGCAAGCTATCTGATCCGGATATCTGACGATTTGACAACAATCAGCAGTATTTCTCGTCGATTTTCAATTGCTACTGTCGACATCTCTCTTTGTACATGATTGGAATATCAGTGAGATAGTTATTAACACGCTCTGCCACACATAGATTATAAGTCCTCAAACTGAAAGTTACACATGATAATTTTGTATTTCTGGTTGAAGGTTTATTCTTACATGATATTGTAAGCTAAACACTGCCACTACAACTAGGATCGAGTTTTTTATTGGTTATTAGAATCGATTAAAGAAACAACCACATTGTGTAGCATATTAAACAATATTGTAGTTATATAAATAGGAAAGCAACGCTCTTTCATTTGAATGCTCACAGGTCAGCCGCCAATGGACCGACTGGAAAAAAAATAATATAATATTATAGTACAGTCGACTCCCGATAACTCGAACCTTCTTAGGAAATCGAAAAAAGTTCGAGTTTACTGGAGTTCCAGGCAAATAACCGGAAATCATTAGACATGATTTAGATTGATATTTTGAAAAAAGAATGAGGCAACAAAGCTTGATTAATATACACGGATGGACACTGAATTTGAAATGGAGCGACAAAAAAAGTGTCGTTTTGAAATAAATTCAATGTTTCGCACTTAAGTACACTGTTTTTGTTTTCGATTTGTCACGCGGTGCTTAAAACATGGCCAGTTCGAGTTATTGAGGGTAAAATTATATAGAAATGATCTCGGGGAAACAAAAATTACTTCGAGTTAGCGGGAGTTTCGAGTTTTCGAAGGTTCAAGTTTCCGGGAGTCAGTCAACTGTAGGTAACTCTTGACTTCGCCTGCAATTTACATTCTTAAATTATCGTTGACATCCTTTTTAAAAATTTTTCTCTCTCAAGTTCAGTACAAAGTTAACGCAGGAGTAATGGGTTCTTGGTAGGGTCTGGTACGTAACAGATAAGTTTTCACGAGAGACCACTTGAGTAATGTCACGTAATTATGTCCTTGTTGACGCTACGGTGCCGGCAGCGCCTACGTAGCGGTTATTTACGGTTAACGCTTCACAAATACCATATCTTATTTATCACGACACTACGTGAAAAACGGCAAACTGATGCTTACCGAAAGAGAAGAGTAATAGTGACGAGTAAAAAGTGATGAAATAGAATAATTGAAAAAAAAAATTGAAGTGTGTGGGGTAGGGTTACCTACTGTATAGTCTTGATCCTTAGCCAGTGCAATGCCAAAAAACAGAGGAACCAAAAGTGCGCCGATTCTTTTATACCCTGATTTAATATAATTTGTAAATTGCGTAATTTGGTGATCGAATTGCGAGTAGGACCGTTGCCGCGGGACCAGCAGGCATAACGGGCCCCTCCTAAAATTCACTTAGCTGATGCTTTGTGGTTTTGCTTCTATTAGTCAAAGGACGTTTTGTTCCATTTTAAATAAATCCGTGTGTAAAACCGGAAATCATTTTGGAAAGATAGCAGTGTCTTCCTTGTGCACTTTTACCACTTGTGACACTTTTGACGTGTCAGTGGCACTACATGACGTAAATAATGCTTATTAGCTGTCGCTTACATCAATATCACATCACCTCACTGGCCACGAGAAAGGGCGTTACCGTTACCACCCTCCTACGCCATTGTGTTTTAAAATTTGCTTACTCTTTAGTGTACTGTATCTGGTTATCAAACCGCTTGCCTTCATTGACACTGCTTGTTCGTGGTGGACTGTGATGCATCTGTTGCGTCTGCACTACGTCTTCAAAATCTTCAATGGGTTGTGCTGCGTCTTCAAAATCTACTTCTGATTTATGCGTGAGTCAGTTTTTTTTTTTTTT